AAGGTTCTCTCCTCTTATTTTTTACTCGTAGTTCTTTACGTACATCGGCAATGGTAACGTCCTCTATACTACTTTAAAGTCTGCTGCTTCATTTCTCGTACATAACTTTGTTGATTCTGTACCATGCAGGCTACTACTAGCGCCACTCTTGAGATACATTTTGCTCTCACGATCAGCTTAAAAATGAAAAACCGATAAAACTAGTCGTGTTGGAATGCGAAGGAGACTTCTCGGAAAACGGACAAGCCACACTTCAATATGCTCGAGAAGTGTTCCGGGAAATTGAAGATCAAATTGCGAAAAATTAATTGGCAAATGTAATTTACACTGATAACCATTGAATAATAGTGGTGATTCAATGACTAAACATAGAAAATTCAGTATCCACCAATCATATGGGTATTGACTTCTTGAGACAATACAACGTTTCTATTTAGAGAATCATTTATTAACGAGCGACCCAGCTCGTTCACGATTTTGGACTTGTGTACGTCCGTCCGTCCGTCTGTGTACATGATCATAACTTGCGCACGATTTGGAATTTTTAAATTCTGTTTTCAGTATTAGGTAGACAATGACCAAGGGACTAATATGATTTCCGTCATCTGTACTTATTGTCCGTCCGTCTGTGTGTTTGGTATCCAAACAATTTCATTGATACTATTTTTGGTTCCAAATACAACTTTTAATGGATGGATGACATATTAACCTTTAAGAATTTAGAACCATATTTAAAAACAATTTTCGCCAAACTACAGTTCGATTTGCGGAAATGTAAATTTGCATGTGAAGAGGTACATTTTCTTGGATACATATAGATACTTCACACTACAGTAACACGGAAATACTATGCGATCAAAAATGAGTTACTGTAGTGTCGCCTTTGGAATTTTTGTTTACATGGAAAATCGTATTTAACTTGAACTTCCAAAGGCGACTCGACAGCAACTCATTTTTGATCACCCGTTATAATGCTTTGTGCAATGGCGTGCGGTCAATTACACCACATATACAAACCGCCTGTCCAGCTAGCTCAAATCAATCAAAATTTGAAACACCTGAGGTAAATCTTGGGGACAATTAGACAAATCTGCACGTGCTCGCATCAGGGTCGTACAATGGATTCAAATAAACACACAATTAATTGATTAACAATGACAAAAAAATTATTCCGAAACACATACGCAGTAAATCAACAAGAAAAACCTGAAATAAAGAGTGGTATAAACCCGATATTACATTTACTACACACGCAATGTAACAGTTTCATTCCATTCAGGCGGGTAAATTTAAATTAAGCATGACGTGTTGCATACATTTAGGGAAATGTTTACCTACTATCATAGTGTATTCTTTACACTAAGCTACTATTTTGCATAATTATCCTATCTAAAAGGCTATCAAAATTTTATCTGGGATTTTTCAAGGAATTTTTAGATTGCCTTATCAAGGAACAATTTCCGTTTAACTTTCGTCGGTGCTAATGCTAATAAAGAGATTATTTAAGAAAATTTCCCTGATCTGGGGTTAACCAATTACCACCACCATCAATTATCGTTCCTACCCTTTGGTTGTGTACTGGGAAGTTTGTATTGGAAGCGATATTTTGCTTTATGCAGATTAAAGAAAGTTGGAAGAATGTTTGCCGCCTGTGTGGTTGTCCACATAAATTGTAATTGTGTTTTGGAATTTTCAAGCTATAACATCTAGGTAAAGTTCTTTGTTTTTAGTCGTTTTCATTAGTACCTACTCACACGTAACAAATTTTTTAGCTTGAATTTATTGGTGCTTGATATCCAAGTTGTCCCCTGGGTTGTAAACTGAAAAGCAGTCATTGTCAGTATCTACAAGATCGTAGCCATCGTCAACATTGCATCCTTAACAAAATTATTGTACCTACCTAGTAATAAAAACAATCGGCTGTTACCGTAATCTTATAATAATTATATTCTGCTAGTAGGTTATCGATTATTATACCTAATTACATCATATAATACACAATTTGAACAGTTATACAGTTTTACCTTTTTATTAATTTGATTAAATTCGCAGTCGCCACTACTGTACTTTATATCTTACTTTTCCCCTTGTGTGAAGCAAGCACCTTTCCCTCTTGATCACAGGGAACTACAGCGTGGTACTGATTTGGCGCCCTGGTAATAATAATAAGGTAGTACCTATCTCTTGGGCAGAGCCTTACCCACCCGCTCTATAATTTAGCCGGCTACCTAAACACATCAAGTAATTTCCCCCTTTCCTATAAAAGATATTTGTGTTCCCCGTCCCGTCACAGCAAGTGTTCGATCACAAATAAATAAGGAAAAACTTACAATCACTTGCATGGTGTTTCTTAATAATACTCCTGATTGTAGCGAAACTGCGTCTTCAATTAACCAAAAAGGTCGATTACCTGACAAAATTAACGTATACAAACGTACACGCTCTTTTCCAGTCGCAAGGTGAACAGCATACGGCGAGACATCCGCCTTAAGGCTAACAAGCAACGTCTCTTCCTTATTTTTCCTATTTAAAAGAACACCACTTGGAGTTTTGATAATAATGTCCTATACATATCTCTGATAGATTTCGAAATATCTTGGTTTCCCTGGTTTTTATATTCCAATCTTAAATAAGTTATGTGTGATTTATGAGGTGGCCATGCAAAAAAAGGCAATTTTTATCTGCCTCGTCGAAAACGAAAATCGTGTCGATTAATTCATTTTCCGAATAATTCATTTACTTAAGTCTAAAAACATAGGGGTTATAGGCAATAGGTATTCCGTGCCTGAATAAATGTTACAGTAGAGCCTGGGGATCCATAGTTGAGAATCAGCTATTTTACGAGAGTTAGTTCTTTCGAGGAGCCCAAGCAATGCGAAGTTTAGTAAATTGTTGCAACTATAAATTGTATAAATTAACATTTCATAGCGTACCTAAATGAAAGTGGACAGCACTTTTACCAAATTAAAGTCAAACTTCATCAAAGTGTCATTTTTGGGTTAAAAGATTAACAACCGTCTGAAGAAAGATGACATTTTCAGTTTACTCATCAGAAGTGAAAATTAGACATCGGAACAGACAGCATTCGATTATAGCATCAATAAACTGTGGTTACAGCTATGATTGCAAACAAACAACTTCACCAAGAAAGTGTAACACCATGCAAAAAATAGCCAACTAAAATTTATCAAGGCTGTTTATTGAGAGTAGGTAGTTTAAATTCGCTTTCATTATTTCCTACTTTAATGAGTTATGCAAATAGGCAAGCCGGCAATTAGCTATACCTTGTTTGCCTGACTGATAATGACGATTGCGGAATTTAACATTAGGTAACTATCGTTTAGCGCAGATCCTCTGTGACGCAAACGGCAGTAATTCTGAAACTGTTTTGTGATAGGACACATGAACTTTTCATAATCGTGACAACTGAACGGTCCCAAATGAGCGGAAGGATTCATCTTGGCTGCATGTCGCTTACGGAATACCAAGAAGGTCAATCAGTTTATACTGTACCTTATACCAAAATGGAAACTACTGTTTAGTAGGTCAGCAATGCTCATTCTTCCACTCTCTTTGATATGCTATGAGGATGTATTACAAAGGCATGCTTTAGTATGATTGTGACTGCGTTGTTGTTATGTTGTGGAAAATGTAAGAATTACTCCACTGTGAACCATACGGTACGTATTTTCTAAGTCTTTAAATTTATTGTCCAGTCGCAATGCCCTTACAAGTAA